GCATGAGCTTTCACGATGCTATCGAAGTTCTTCTACAAGCTTCGAACTTCTCTTCTGACTGAAGTGATCGCCCGTTTGTACATTAGGTTATTACAGGTTCACTTTCACTGGTGTATTGCCGATTCCGCCAGCGAAGTTCTTTCAAAAATCCAACCTCGCTACATGCGAGGTGTGTGTGTGTACCATCTGAACAGATGTAAAACTTCTTATTGGTTTTCACTAATTTGCAGGGGGGTGCAGAGCACAGTGGAGACTGCACCCAACGAAGCTATCCACTCGTGTTGGAAGCAGAGTCTGATCAACTCTGTGTACCTGCAAAATTTGGTTTCAACTGTTGATCAAGCTGTTACACTGCGTTGTTTCGAATCTACACGGTTGCCACAATCTGTATTGCATGCATCAGAACCTTCCTCAGATTTTCGCCGAAACCATTTCGCCGACAGTATTATGTTTTTTGACTTATTTTCGCCGAGATCCTGTCGCCGACGAACTATGGGTTATTTTGGGAAACAATCGCCGAAACATTATTTTGGATTTCAACATGCTGGTCAAAACTCTATGGAATCTGGTTATGACTACGTTTGACAATTCGGATGCCCTACATCGTTTTCGAGAAGTACCTCATGTGGCTCTTTTATTCATCAAATAATCTAGGCTGGTTTGCATGTTTCAGGATTCAGTTCCTGCCGGATCATATAATGATCCATTCTTGTCTAGTGTGTGTGTAACATCTGGATAGATGCAAAATTTCCTTCTTCTTTTTTCTTCCCTCTTCTCCCTTTTTAAATAATGCAGGGGGACACAGCATTTCACTGTGACTGTGTCCAACGAAGCTACCAGTGAAATGGGATATCCAGCTTGGCCAGCTGGACGTACCTGCATTTTTTCGTTGCAATTTTGACTGACATGGCACGCGGCCAAGCCTAGAACCGCACAGCTGTATTTTCACTTCACGGTTGTCGCAATCTGGTACTTAATTTCTGTTATCAACATAGCGATCCTTATTTTTTGGATCTGCACGTTACAGGATTCAGTTCCTGCCCGATCATATAATGATCCATTCTTATCTAGTGTGTGGGGGGTATACTTGGTAATTATACATACTGTACCATATTTATAATATATAAAGGGATCATGTGTTGACACGAGAGATGCCAAATCCCTGGCCACCAGCTGTGAGGTTTAAGAGCTGTAGCAGCTGTGGTTGGGAGAACTCAGATTGCTGTGGCTGTTGAAGTTGGCTTTTGATTCATAAAACGTCTCTTTTTCAAGCAGCAATTACGTCACGTTGATTTTTTTTTCGGAGAATGATGCCATATTACCCATAGGATCCATGGTGCTGCCATATATGGTAACATGGATCCCATCAATATACCCCCAATGTTAGCATATATACCAGCACCATGGATTCTATGGGTTATGCCTATTAAATCCTGCTAATGCTTAAGATCTTTGCTTAGCAAACTTTCAATGGGATCTTGGCATCCTGCGGATCGCTGGAGGATTTTTCGGAGCCTCCAGTAAACTAACATCAGCTATTGATAATGGCCCATAGAAATGCTTGATTTATAGTTGATTTACCTATTCATAGTGGTGATTTTCCATAGTCATGTTAATTTACCAGAGGGTAAAGGATCAACAGCTCAATCGTTTACCTGGCTATGGTCATATGTTTTGGTTGGTGGAATCTTTGTGTGATGATGCGTGGTTTCCCTTTGTAACGCAACCTGCTTGGTGATTGTTTTATAAGAAATTGGATTTCCAAGCCAGCCATGTTTGATTACCCGAAGGATCCGGAGGATGTATTATATTGTGTATATATATATATACATACACATAGTGCAACGCTTCAATCCCCATTCTTGAGGGTGAGATACGGGTTTGCCTGAATACCCAAGGTTTGAATACACCTTTGTGATGAACAAAATAATCCCCAAAATGGCATTCCTGGGTAGGTTTTTGCTCTCACCCTTTGTCAATTGAACATAGCTATGGAAAGTCACCATTTTTTGAAAGCACTAAATCATCGAACTAGATGGGCCACAATTTCCAGTTCGCAATGTTAATTAGATTGCCAGAGTGTCATCCCCATTCATATCATGTTAATATCCTCATGTTTGTTGCTCAAATCACCATGGATGCAAGGCTTCAGACTTGGTTATAGGCCAGGGCTTGGACAAGGTGGATTTTTGCCAAGAAACGTTGGGGAAAGCCATGGATTTCATGATGATTTAAGATGATTTAAGGGTAGTTACCATGAAGAAATGGTGATTTTATGGCAGATGAATGGGGATATGTCAATATAGCAAACAAACTACAATTAATCATTATATATAATTAATCCCCTCCCCCTAACACCAAACATCCCCCAGACACCATGTATTGGGGGATTTACACATATTTGTGACCATAGAATGGGGGTGAATATTATCAAAGGGGATGGGATGATTGACGAATTGATGGTTTATATCCAATGTTGATATCCATTTTATCGACCTGAAAATCGATGATTTATGACATAGAATGACATAGGTATTGTTTTAAAAAGAAATGTGGAATAATGAATACACATTTCTTGCATATCTGGGATTACCAACCATGATGGCAACTAATATCATGGTGATAAAACGGACATATAATGATACTATGGGATATATATATATATAACCCAACTTTTAGAATCGTTTGGATTCGTTTGGAGAATGATATAGCATATTTTTTCGGTATGCAAGAAGAATCCGGGCTAAGAAATGTTTTTTTTTGCTACGATTAGTGTTTCAAAACTATGGTTACTTGCCACCTGCAACCGCGGGAACCCACTTACATGCGATTGCGATTGGTCCTGCTGGGAAGTCTCCCAACGAGTTTGCTAAGACTTTTCGGAACACGAGTTTGCCTGAAAATTGGAAATATCCTCACATGGTCAAAGAACAATTTGGAATTAATGATTAATTAGATATATTATTTTTATATATATATATTTATTCCCAGCCCATTTTGGACAAACCACGTAATGTATCTGTGTAACACGACTTATAATACTTATAATGCTCGGCAGATGATTCATCATGATAGTTGACAGCAGGTTTCACAAAGAAAGCCTGGATGAATCGCAGGGGGCACCAAGGGGTGGATGGCCGCTAATTACCCACAGAAGTCCGCAAATTAGATAAAACCAATGTTTTGTTTAGTCAAACACGTTTTACCCACCCTAAAATCTAACAGTGAAACCAAAGCCTGGAACATTCATAATTCCACCCCCCAGTATCAAATGACCCCAACAAGAAGAACGGATCAAAGATTTGCGAGTTTTTCCCAGAGTTTGTGGGTGGTATCCCCAAACATGATACATGGGTATGAGTCAGAACCTATGGTGCCAGATTTGCGCTATTTTGAGGCTCACCGGGTCACCAGGGTTTTGATTCATAGCCAGATAGACCCTCTGGTAATTTGACATAGCTATGGAAAATATGTAATTGATTCTTTTGATAATCTTTAAGGTAAATCATATATAGATATCAAATTGTCCGTAGTTACCGTAGTTATGTTAAACTACCAGAAGGTCATTCCCATTCATATCCCCATGTTAGTTGCTGTCCCAGTGAACTCACCATAAGATCCCAGGACAATTCCTGCGGAGCTTGGGGCCTGTAAGGAGCCATGGTGAAACTTCCTTGCTCAAGAATCCATGTGCGGGTTTACATTGAATTATATACTGTACATTGTTTTACCTGCATGAATTGGTGGTGTTAGGATTTTTTAGCATGTTTGCCTTGAAAGATTATTCATTTCATGCATTTGAGAACGGTACTTATATGTAATTGTGTGATACACGAATGACGTGATAATCAGGATGTATATTAGATGAAAATGACTATGATGTAGATCGGGCGAGCATGAGTGCGACCCAAATCTTTGCGGCACACGTTGTTTGTCCTGCAGCGTTGTCATCACCATTGCAACCATCATCACCATGAACCAGGATCACCATCATCATGTATCATTTGAACAACCATCATAATCTCATCATTTCTTGCTGTTTTCAAAATCCGCAGATTCACCAGATTCACATCCCCCAGAAACACCATAATTTCCATCATCCTCTATTGCTGAATGCCGAGGCAACTTTTTTTGTCCAATCTTTCAGTCGGAGGCTGGTTATTTTTGTTTGTTGCAGATATCGTTTGGTTTTGTTGGGAAAACCTAGCCTAGCTAAATCCATTGTTTTTCCGTCAAGTAATGGGGTTCTTTCCGTGTACTAATCCAATGATGTGATGGACAGCTTATCATCAGCAACTCTTGATGACAGGTGCTTGTAGCGCAGGTGATGCATTTTGTCCTCTACAAAAGCTGTTGTTGGGGGGGTCCAAGTGCTGGATTAAACCTTCAGCAATTTGACATGGCAACGAAAATTCCAAGTGGGAAAATGTGGCAGAATAATCTACTTCCATGGCCAGATGAAAAATTACTGGATGGTCAACCGTCCATTTTCCATATGGGATTTCGATCCTAAATAACTACTGTGTTGGCGGCTGAAGACCACCAACTGGATAACATGTTTCCAGTTGGATTCTAAGGTTTTCAGGTATGGCTGACAATCCAAACTGAACACTACTCACTAAAGAAAATCTTCAGGAAGATCTAAAGAAAGGCAATATATGGCAATATGTTTTCACGTAAAAAATCAAGTGACCTTCACCTTGGTTAGTTTGCAACATCCTCATTTTATCTACAACACAAACAACTTACCTATATAATATATTATATATATAATACAAATACTTGATTATTTGAATCGGTTTTGGGCACCTGAAAGATCATTGAAACAAAAATCCGATATTTCGTAACATATGGGATATATATATATATACACTGACCGTCAGAGTATATAATATCACATAATATTATATGTATATATATATATATGTCAACTGTTTGTTTCTGAAAGACCCAGTTTGTGATTCCTGGAGCCATTGAATCCCCAAGCATTCCACGTCCGCAGCCGCTTTTTGTCCTCATTGCTCAAGCCCGACTTATTCGCGGCGTCGCGAGCATCGCACGCGATCCAAACGGCAATGATGTCCGTCGCACACAGTTCGATCAACGACAGGGAGACCTGGTCTGGTTGAGATTGTTCGTGTGAGATTTGAATATCCCAACAAATAAGGCCCCAAATGAACCACATGCATCCAAATGCTATCCATGGATAGTAGATAGTATATTTATATTAAATTTGGTTGGTGCTTTATTTGCAATAGACTTATATGTCAAATCAAACCCTACCTGGGATGATGTTCCTATTTTCCTATTTTCAGATGGATAACCCACCAATGAAATCGGATGAGTCCAACGGATCCTGGGTTTCATTATGAATGGGATTATTCATAGATGTAAAGTGTGAAGGTTTATAGTTAACTGATGCTTGGATCTTGGCACATTGATGCACATGGTCAGTTTTGTGAGTTGGCACCAAAGCTATCCGATATGTTGGATCCATCAGGGTAATGGTAGTGCTTCGGGCACCTCAGCAACCTTCGGTTTCCTCCTTTGCAACCAGCACTACCAACACTGCCAAGGATGCGAAGCGATTGGCTGCACACAAGCAGACGCGCCTGTGCAAGTTTTTTGCCATGGGCGCGTGCACCAAAGGCACGGCTTGCCCCTTTGCGCATGGCACGAGCCATTTGCGTGCCTTGATCCAAAACTCAGAGAAATTTATCATGGCTGTAGTGCAGGATGGCATGCCATCTGGACTGTGAAAACGCATTCTGCCATCAAATATCACATTTGATCACCATGAAGATTCATTAGGAACGATCACAGCCAAACGACACAGTTTGGGATATCGCTGGCTTACCCAGGACATGAGAACCATAGAAGCAGTCACAACCCCCCCCGGAAGAAGCAGCTTTGAATTGGACCCCAAATGTTCTGTGGGTTGAAGCCAAAATATAGTGATATATTTACAATATGGTATTCGGGGACGCTAATTTCCTATTCGAAATTCACCTTTTTACAGTATGCCAGTCTATTTTCGGTGTACAGGTAAATTCAACTGAAAAATAGGCTCTAAGAATCCATTCCGAGCAAAATACCAGACCCAAGGCCAAGGTTTTGGGCTATTGTTTGTAGTAGACCACAGCATTTGAACACCATTTAACGCGAGCAACCCCCTGCATTCATTGAGATACTGTAACAATATTTGCACTACAGCAAGCCATGTTTTTCCCCATCAAACATGGTACCGGCGCTGATAGCGGACCCGGTGTTTTTAATGATTTTGATTCAACCATTCTTCATTGATTTGATTAAAATTGTGGCGCCGTGACGATTTTGTTGTTTTGCCTTCAATTAGAAATGGTGTTTTCGTCCCACGTTACGCAAGGAATTTATTCATTGATTATTGAATTCTATTGGGCTAAATAATTTGCAAATGTGGATTTGGAAAACGGAACGAAAGACAGCGTTTTGTCCTCTTCCTTTTCTCTCTTCATGGGTTCAGCGTCTGCGTTTGTTAACCTTAGCTGCCAGTTTGGCGAGACTTCCTTTCAAGTCTGCCGTGTGGCTCCAACGATAGGCGAAGGACCACACATACTGTTGGATTCTTTGAGAACCTTTTTGGTAACCTTGTCTTTGCTATGGACGGAGAAGGGCACGAAGCGCTTCAGTTGCATCGTGATAAACCATCATTTGTCAGGTGTGTTTCAATCCAATGAACAAACACAATTTATGAGATAAGTGATGTACGATCCAGACATGATAGCAGCCTCTACTCTTGGGAACCCATGGTGTTGCGGTAGAAATTTCATGGGTCTGATGTCCTGTAAGCAAATTGATGCGAAACGCTCAACTCTCAAATGTCAACATTACACGTCTTACTTTACTCACCTGAAAATAGAAAGACAAGAGACAGTTACAGCGAAGCATCAAAAGCGTGTGACAAGTGACCAGAGATATGTTACAGCGAAGCATCAAAAGCGTGTGGCAAGTGACCAGAGACATGTTGCAGCGTCGTATCATGAGCGTGTGGCAAGTGACCAGAGAAATGTTTCCGTGTAGCATCAAAAACGTGTGACAAGTGACCAGAGACATGTTACAGCGTAGCATCAAGAGCGTGTGACAAGTGACCAGAGACATGTTACAGCGTACCCCTTGCCCCCCCCCACCCCCCTCCCCCACCCCACCCGGTTCCCCAAGAAAATCACATTAGCCTTCGCGCACAACTTCTAACTGACGTGCACAACTTCTCACTGACGTGCGCAACTTTAACTGACGGGCACAACTTCTAACTGACGTGCACAACTTCTAACTGACGGGCACAACTTCTAACTGACGGGCACAACTTCAAACTGACGGGCACAACTTTTAACTGACGGGCACAACTTCAAACTGACGTGCACAACTTCTAACTGATGGGCACAACTCCAAACTGACGTGCGCAACTTCTAACTGACGGCACAACTTCAAACTGACGTGCACAACTTCTAACTGACGGGCACAACTTCTAACTGACGGCACAACTTCAAACTGACGTGCACAACTTCTAACTGACAGGCACAACTTCAAACTGACGGGCACAACTTTTAACTGACGGGCACAACTTCAAACTGACGTGCACAACTTCTAACTGATGGGCACAACTCCAAACTGACGTGCGCAACTTCTAACTGACGGCACAACTTCAAACTGACGTGCACAACTTCTAACTGACGGGCACAACTTCTAACTGACGGCACAACTTCAAACTGACGTGCACAACTTCTAACTGACAGGCACAACTTCTAACCGACAGCAAGAAAACAACAAAACCTGCGGGTCAGTTAACAGCGCCGGTAGCCTAAACATGAGGGCTCGATCTTCCAGGAACAAAGAGACCGAAAAGAAAGACACCGTGGTTCTTCCCAGCAAGAAAGTAGTGGAGGGTTCCTGTGAAATGGGTGTGTGGTGTTCATTGGCTATACCATGCTATACTCCAATTTTATCATATTGGAATATATATTTGATATGTTTTTTTTGACATATATATTCATATATATATATATCATATTTATATTATATATATATTATATATATTATATATATATATATTATATATATTTATATTATATATTATATATATTATATATATTATATATATATTTTTTTTTTCATCTCTCTCTTTCTACCTATATCTATTAAATTCATGGCACATGAAGTTCGGACTTGCGGCGGGGTTCCCAGCACGGAGGTGAGCAACCGGACTTCTCAAAGACACGACTCTGCCCTGACGCTTGACGCGGGCATCGCGGGCGCAAGGATCATGAAGTTGGGTGTTTTAACCCCATTAACATCCATCATTTTAGTTATATCTACCATAAACCATAGTTTTCAGATATATGTGATATAGTCTTAAAATCATATTTTACCTTAAGAACCCTTAAGGTTCATGGGTAATAATGCTATAGACGTATGTATATATGACAAAAATGATGATTTACTGATGTTATTAATGAATACTGTAATCATATTTATTAATGATGATTTTCCGTAGCTATGTTAAATAAACCAGAGAGTGTGACCCTTGTCATTTTTATTGAAAACTTACAGCACACTTCACACTTCCAAGCGTATATGTGTCCAAATGGAATTTGGTCGATTGGCTGGGGCCAGAAGAAACCCAAACAGTGTTGCTCGGCCAAGGTAGTTTTCAAGTCGCTGCCGTCAACTTGTTACGCGCTCTTTAAACACGTGTCAGCTTATACGGGGTTTGCACAACATCACATCGCTCAATCAAGCGTTCACTTTGAGGATTGTTTCCGCTTTGCTTCGCGGGGTTTCATGTTGGCTGTTTTCATCACCGATCAGACACGGAGAAAAAACCCACCTATATAGATTGTTGCAGCTCCACTGATGCAAGAACCTTGAAGAAATGGTTTTTTGCCCCAAAATGCATCAACAAAACAAGTGGCATTGTCCAAACTTCGGAATATCACGGGATATCCTGAACGAAATAGACAAGTTCATAGGGAAAGTTCAGGTTCTGTCTGAAATAGGTCTGTCTCAAAATTGGAAACACCTTTTCACCAGTGGTTTCCGTTTACGAAATGCGACAACTCTCAGTTATTCATGGGTGTCATTTCATGTTATTAAATACTCTGACCCACCAATATGCAGCTTACGCATGAATTTTCGGGGCGATGTTGAGCATGTTCTTTCTTAATATTTCTAACCACCCCAAATCCGTTTTTTTTTCCGTGACGATTTTCCAATCCGTTCCTTTTTATAAAGCTACGGCCCTACCGCCACTTTCGCCACATCATTTTCCCAAGGACTTCATGGAGCTGGGCCATTGCGCCCAAGGAGACCATTGTATCTTGGAACAAGGAGGATCTTGGTCGCTTTCTGAAGCCCACAAAAAAAGGAGAAAAACCATCAAAGTGGGAATGACTTGCAAAATCTTAGCAAACAGTGTGATAGTCACCAAAAATATAGTGGTATAATGGGACTGGGAAATAGTGGAGAATTTATCCTCTGGTAATTTTTCAGATAGCTATGGAAAAATCACCCCATTTAAGCGTCCCTTTTTTATCCTTTTTTGGCTTGGCTGCGGTACTGCGGTCTACCACCCCTGTTGCTTGAAGATGAGTGTGGCATAGTTTGGAACATTTGTTATTTTCCATAATACAATATATGGGATGATCCATCCCATTGACTAATATTTTTCAAGATGATTAAAACCACCAACCAGATGAGTGTGGGATAGGTTGGGGATTATACTAAGCCTAAGCCAATCTTAACGATGATCAGAATACATGAATCCTGGACCGGGACAAGTTGTTGCGGGTCGAGTTGCGGGTCGAAACCCCCAGCCAGAAGCGAGGAATAACCATATATATATATACATAACATGCATTTTTCTGAATGCTTCTTTTGGGTTGTTAAGCAGTCAGTAGCTATGATGCGCATCCAAGTGACCTGAAGATAAAGAATGATGTGTTTTGATACACCGAGCAGGTTTCTGATGTTTTGTAACGATCATGATCATTCAGCCATGTTCATCATAATGGTCAAGAATGGACAATTGAAAGCTTCAGATCACCAATTTGTACAATGTGTACGGTCGAAAGAGGTACCCTTCGAAAAGTTAACATGTACTGTACTTGTAGATTGTAGCTATGGTATAGATGGCCCATTTAGTTCGATGATGTACCTTTTGAAAATTGCGGTTGTCCATAGTAAACTGTTCAAGTACAAGAGGGTACCGCAATTCTCAGATCGCCAGGGCCATTTTTTCGGGTGCAGGAGCTTTGCCAAGAAATCGGGGGGAATGATGGGGTCTCTCCTTGCCAAAGATGGATAGAAGGTGCTGGAATCCAGAAAATTGGTGGGAAACGATGGTGGGTTGATCTACTCATTTCATCATCCACGGCTTGGTTACTATGATGGAAGCCAGGGATGGAGCCCCTTAATTAGGTTGCAGAGTTTTTTTTTGTCATTTAAGATGGTGAAATTTACGACACACATGGATAAAGATACTGTAGATTTACTGTATATTGGATCCCCAGATTTACCTAAAACATGTTAAGTGATTGGACCTGAACTGTAGGGAGTTTGATCGCCAAAATTCTACTAGATTGGATGGCAAAAACTCAACACAACCAACATTTGTGGGTGCTTGGACCTTGTCCAACCGACCCCGCCTTGATACTTGAGCTATACTTTCACGCAGTGGTTGGGAGGGAACCAAGGAGCTAAGGGTATTCATACTCCCCGTTCAATTGGGAGCCAAGGAGCTACTTAGAGTTTCCCCACAACATGATAGTTTATCATCCAACTTTTGTTGAGGAATCCCCAGCGATGTGGCGGTTCAATCAAACATCTCCATTTTGAATCATGTTGATCCATTTTAATCCATTTGGTTGGTTTGAAAGATGCATAGATTTCGTTGTTCAAGATGGAATTTAATTCTAACCTCAGTTCCCGGATAAACAGCAGATTGCTCTTCATTGCCTGGGGTCCCTGTCATTTGGGGTTAAATTGATATACTGTGCCCTCTGGTAATTTAACGTAGCTATGGACAATCACCAGGTTTAATAGGTAAATCATCATAATCATGATAAATCATCATGAATCATCATAAATCATCATAAATCATCATGAATCATCATAAATCATCATAAATGGCCCATTCATAAATCATTATTTTTCACATAGCTAAAAATCAATTGATGGGCCATGTTCGCTATGGTAACAGTCATCACCAGTCCGGCGACTGGCGGATTGGGTTCCAGGGGATCCCCTGAGGCAACTTCGCGCACGGCAAGCACGAACTTCGCCCGGGATCCTCCGCGAAGAGTCGGCAAAGCAATGGTCGTAGCAAAGGTAAGGTGCACTCTGCGCAGGAGCGGGTTGGTGCCATGCGGGAATGAAGTGAATGAAGTCAAAAAAGAACCATGAACCAAGATCAGTCGTAGAATTCATCTAGTGACTAGGTGAATTCTACGGTTTATATTGGTTTGTGGTTAATGAAACCTCGAGGGTAACGGGCACCGCCTGGTGGGTGGGAAAAGTAACCACCAAACATAGATAACATAGGGGGTCCCTAAAAGACGCTCCGAAAAAAACAAAGTCTGGAAAGGTAAGCTGGATGGAATTCATATGAATTTATAGCGTATACTCATATACACGTAACTTTACATGTGTACTTATGTATTTAGTCTTATTTTGTGTGTGTGGTTATTATTTCTGGTCCCGAAGTGGATAGAAAAGATCTATTTTATAGCAGGTTGATATGTTTGTCCTAAGCAGGGTGTTCAATCTTTTGTCCCCAATACATATGCTTTGAGCAATGAGTAGACCGAAAGGTTTGGATGCTTGGTTGATGTTTGATATTTGTACAGTGGCAATGCTCATGGATTTCTCCCTCATATAAGCCCAGAAGTTGAGTGCTTTGCGAATTTGAGGCAATCCACATGGCTGTGGATGATAGAAAAAAAGGAACACAGGAGAATGGAGTGCATGCTGAGGCCATTATTTGGGTCTCAGTGTTCGAGTTAGAGCTGTCGAGAGGTCAATGATGGTTGCCATTTCCCCTGCCCGTTAGCCTTATTTTTGCCCACCACCGACAGATGGATGGCGCTGCTTCAATCATGCTTCACATCATGTTTCTTGTATGTTTTTGTTGGGTTACCATATACATATATATATATATATACATATATATATATACATATATATACATATATATATACATATATATACATATATATATATACATATATATATATATATATATACGTTTGTGTATCATTAATTTGGTTGGAGGATCATCCCACGGATCGTAAGTGGTTAATGACCAGACTTCCAGAGAAAGCCAAGGAGTCCAAGGAGTCTCGCGAATCTCGCGTGTGGGGACTTCAGTCTGGCTATGAACAGGCAGCCTTAAAGCTCATCCTGAAATCTGCGCTGGCAGGCCTGAAAACTGTAAAAATATCCAATGGTGGAGGGAGCTGTTCGGAGCTAGAGGCATCCATAATATATTCCCCATGGGAATCCCCATTAATCCCCATTAGAATAATTCGATTCATGAAAATGGGGAGCCAGTTGGAGCTAAGAGTTCCGAAACCATATGATAGAATTCTCGAACATTCCATTGGCAAAAAAGACACCCTGCTATGACGTTGTGACCTTGATTTGTTTTTTGTTTGTTTCGTTTCTTGAAACCTATATGGTAGTGTAAAGCAGCCTATCATAAACCACCTGTATATGATCCTATATGGATCGGCGAGGATCACAAAGCGGCGTCGACAAGACGGGGAACGGCAATACATGCGCAGCCCAGTGGGTGGGGTGGACAGAGGGCAAGGCAGACTGTTCCTTGGCCCAAGGGATTCCAAGGGTCATGAGTTGCTGTGAGTAGCTGATGACTGGAAAACCTTGGATATAAAAACTCTCTGAAGATATCCATATATATATATAATTATATATATACGTGTATAATATTATATATATAATATTATAAATATATATATACACTAATGTTTCTATGCAAAGGATAACGTCCTCACGTCGTGGGGTCACTGGAATGATGGTCAGTAAGGGGTTTGCCCGTACCAAAATGATCGTTTGGTTCAGGCTATTTAAAAACTATTGTATCCTTCAGCAATTTAGCCAGAATAGTGACTTAGTGGTAAACCCAGGATATGTTGTGGCTATGTTTTTTTTTGGGGTATGATTAAGGGATCTGACAGAGGAATATTGAATGATATATGATATAACCAACAAAATTATAGTACTTATTTTCATGATAGTACTAATTGTTGGTTAATCACCAATTCATGGGTTATATCACCAACCAAATTGGTAATTCTTAGTACGGGCCTGTCCCTTCAGTGCCATGGTGAAATGTATTGAATCTACGACTCCGGGGATGGGCTCAATTCTCCTTGATTTTTGAATGATTTCAATGTCGCATGGCTAAAGAAAATGGCCCAATCTGAGATGATTTATGGGTGATATATATATATATGCCTATTAGAAATGCCAAGATGCCCCATCCAAGTTGGCGAAAATACACTTCGATTTTTGTCCCAGATAAAGGACCTTCCGATAATCAACATGGTCATGGGACAACTTGAGGACACCGCTGTTTTGTTATTCTTGTAAGTCATTCCTTTGAACATGGTGGATTCTAAATTGCTGTTTATGATTACCAAAGGCTATGTTTCAGTTTAGCGTGATTCCACTCATTTCCAGACCTTGATCTCCCCTGGCGTCACCACAATGACAGCTCGGCCAGGCTTCAATTGATACCATCTGGTAATGAAAAACATCTCGAAAAACACCAGTTTGAAAAACCGTAAATCATGCCTCACTAAATATAGGCCATCTATACAAGTTCGCAAAGCGTTGAATCACCACAGGGTAGATGCAAATTCTTCGAAATTTCATGTGCTTGCCGAATCGGAGAACCTTTCTTCCCAACGCATACATAATCTAATACTGTTCCACTTGGGATTATTTATGCTACCCCTATAAGATCGAATGTCCCCATAATAAGTGCATATAATAGTTGAAATATACCGACCCCTGAGCCCCACTATGTATAGCATAGGTAGTAGGTCCAGTGTAGGTAGTTATGCCTTAGCTATGAGTCCAATACACTCCAAGTAGATATCCCCGATATGTACAGCAGTAGCACCACCTATGTAGAAGCGTTACATAGGTAGAATAGCCTTAGATTAGAGGGTAGTACTAGTCCCATCCTAACAACAACCTGGGTGGTAGTAATTAGTATGTATCCGACGTCGACTGGCTCAAGTGCCTTCGAGAAAAGGTGCTTGTTGTTTGTATGTGCAGGGTTCGGCGGTTTAGATTCGGGTTTCTGTTCCGACCCCCTGTTTGTCTGGTTATCAGCCGTAAGGCTTGTTGTTTCTTTTTGTTGGGGAACCTAAACCGCGGAAACTTGCTTAGGCCCTAACTTATTCGCACTTTTCGCTGACACTCTTGCATGCCCTCAGACGGATCGGGTGAGGTCGCTGCTGATCACAGCGCGACTGAGGAAACGCCAGTGGAAGGAGACGAGGCGGCTGGCGAAGCAGGAAGCGTTGAGCAAACAGCTCCGTCTACTGCTGACCCGGTAGCCGAAGGCTCCCGAAACTGGGCCGATTTTTCTGAGGTATTGGAATCGACCGCGCATTCTGGTGAGGCTACAACTGCTGGTTTCGTTCAGGTGAAAGAGGAAGAGCAGGAGCTTCAAGAGGCACAGTCGTTGGGTGCAGTGCTTTCTACAATTGGTTTGCCGGAAGAGGTCGTTGACGAGCCCGTCGCGACAGGGGATACTGAGGTCGAAACTTCATTGCAGGATCAGTCATTTTTGGAACCGCCATCTGATTTGGGTAACCCAGCAGAAGCAGCTTTCACGGACATTGATCGTGCAAAAGAAGAAGAAGTAGATCCTCAACAAGATTCTTCAACTCTTCCGGAACAGGCCGAGTGCGAAGTTGATACAACAGATTTTGCAGATCCAGTTGGAGAAGCCGAACAACAGGTTGAGACAGCTGATCTTTTAGGCTTAGGTGACGAGGCGGGTCCAGTAGGAGAAGCATCCGTTGCATCCGAACCATCTGCATCCGTGCCTGAGCCTGCGGTCGCTGACACATCCGGTGTCGCGACAGAAGCCAACACCACTTGCCCCGGTGATATAGTCCCACCACCAACTAGTCCCAATCTTGTTGAACCTGGCACCGATCCTATCCAGGTAGGTCATTCCCCTGCAACTTCATCTAATCCCCCAAGGCAAAGGGTTAGATCAAGCCGGGGTGGTGCTCAAACCAGGTGGCAAGAAGCAAAGCGAGCTTGGTGGAACGACTTCGAGGCATACCAAAATTGGCTTTACCATAATTCCGGAGGGGATATCGTAGGTGGCTTTTGGTTAAGAAAAATATCTTACGAACACGCCGACGAAAGCACTCGCTGGTTGATAGCTCTTCATTCAAGACTTGTGGAGGAGTTCCCAACATCACAGTGTTTAGCTTTAGCCTACAATATCCTTATCCCTTACAAAGAGTGGGCTCACATCCACGGGTTGGACAGGCGTAGAGGTATCGTCCACGCACAGCAAGTGATTGATTCTGGTGAATTACCTCCAAAAAGGGTCATTAACCAACGAATCTTAGGGGCGGAGCACCCGCGCGCAGAAGAGTGGGACGTATATTATAGATATATAGGCCCACAGCAGCAACCCCGTCCAAAGGTGGTTAGGCCTGCTGCCGCAACACCCGTTGCTGGCGCGGCAAGTGGGAGCGCAGATCCAACTCCGGTCCTGCAAGGACCCAAAGAGCCTGGGCACCCACCGCCAAATTGGCAACCCTCATTGAGGGCACCAAACCATCCGGTCCAACCGCCGCGTCCAAGGGTTACTGTCTCTGTCCATCCAGTCCCACAAGCCCCAAAGTCAGGTTCTCAAGGGGTCGCTGCCTCTGGGCGCGACGTAGCACCAGTCCCAGTAGCTAGCCCTGCTAAGCCACCAGCTAAAGCTAGGCCCAAAGCTCCTGATTCTAGTGCCACAACCCTTGCAGATAGAGTTCGAAGTTTGCCACCTCCACCTAATAACATCGCCCCTAGTCCGCCCCCTCATAAACAACCACCTTTACCACCATTACCGCCTCCTAATTCACCACCACCTGGTGATAATTTTCCACCCCCACCATCTCATCCACCGCCAACTGCACAGGAGCTCGCTGCCCGCAGTTCCCAACGTGCAGAGGCGCGAGAAGAGGTTGCTCCAGCGGATCCCAACGATCCACCGCAAGAGGAGCAGGAGTGGGTTGCGGAAGAGGCGGAGGAAGAGGAAGTTTTAGAGGAGGACGAAGTGGTTGAAGTTGAGGTTGAGGCCGAAGCTGAACCCGAATTCCCTGACTTCACAACAACAGAGCACGGCCGTGAGGTTTCCACGCGCCGTCGTAGGCCTAAAAGAACTAGGTCCAATCCGCCATTGCCTGTCAATCTAGTCCCAAGGGAAACCCGTGAACGAATTGAACTTAATCAAGAACTTTATAGAGCCCGAGCCATAACCGGTGTTTCTAGAAGACCTCTTGCTTTAAGACCCCAAGTGCACGGTTACCCCGAAATTAGAATTGACTCCGCTGGCACCTGGGCTAGGGTCGCTGATCCTCCGATCGCGTACGCGCCACAGACTTTGCCTTTTATCATCCCTCACGCTGAGGCTCCAGAGCTTGGGGTCAACCCACACGAGCTTCCCGACTCGTTGTGGCGAGATCCTGCACTTAGATCCCATCGGACAGTTCTTGGTTCAAGTAATTTAGACCCCAATAGTGTCTATAACATTGCCACCAACAACCCCGAGACCGAATCTGAGGGCTCTGAAACTGCTGAGACTCGAACCGCCAGGTTTGTATCATCAGGTCAGGCATTTGTCGGCCAGCAAGAACCGTTTGACGCTGGCTTCGTTGAGCGCACCCCTGCCCGTCCAATTGAGTCTCCACCAAAGAGACAACGCCCTAACATAAGAACCTCTCATATCCAACGTGATAAGCCGGCACAGCCCCGAAAAGATCCAGTTTCTGCTGCACCAACACCACCTGCAGCCCCTACAGTGCCATCTTTGACTGTTCCCCCATTAAGCAGTTCTAGTAGTTCAGCTTATCCTCCCTGGAGGCAGTCCTTGCAAAGTGCTGGAAGTGGGGTCGCTGACACAGCCCGTGTCGCGACAGAAACTGCATCAGAGCCAGCCGGCTCTCCCGTTGCGCGATCCAGGTCAAGAGCACCCTCAGCCGAGACTGCGCCTGCAGTTGCTGCCAAAACCAGTAGGGGAAGGGAAGTACCAATCTCAAATAAGATTTCATCTAAGTCTCACAAAAGAGCTAGTTCCGTTCCAGTGCCAAGTCGTGCAAAGGGGGCTGCTGTCCCCGACACGCCTCAAAGGCCAGAACCCCTACCGCCAGCTCCAGAGCCTAAGAAGAATCTGCCGTGGAAACATCCACCTGTGTTAATTGCTGCACCTGTGGCACCTGCTGCACCTGTGGTAATTCCCCCAAGACCTAATAGGCCAGTTCCCCCTAATCCAGCTAATCTTAAGCCCGTAAAACCTCCTCCGCCAGGAATCGAGAGGGCAAGACCTGCTGGCCAATCGTCCCGAGATCTTCCTCCACTTGATCCCGAAGGACAGCAGCAACAGCAAGAAGCACAAAGCTCAGGATCCGGCCTTGCACCCCACATCCGTGGGCGGCCTTTGCCTGAACCAAATCCAGATCGGCCAGAGGGGGTCGCTGGTACTGTACCGCGACATTACCAACAGCAACCCAACTTAGTCTCTAAGGTAGTCCACGTTAGTTCATCCAACGTAGTTGTT